CGTGTGGCTGCACAGTATGCCACACCCCCCCCTCCTTGAAAGACCGAGCTTACCTACGAGGGCGAAGCTGTCTGTCTGAGGGAGGGACCACAGTCCGGGTGGGAGGGGCAGGTCGTGGAGGTCCCTTGGCTAACCTCTGTCGCTCGTAGTGAGCGTAGATCAGCGGTGCAGACGCTTTCAAATCTGCTCCTGAAATCCACCGAGTGTCGTCGGGATCGCATGCTCTGAATGTAACTTTATACTGGCGCGGCTTGCTGCCATACTTGCGATCTGAGATGACGCGGTCAACCTCCTGATGACCATCCATAGAAGGAGGGTTCTGCGATCGTCGGCCCGGGAAGTCATCGCTCTTAGCTGGTGTATATGTTGCCAGCTTTGACGCATGAAAGACTAGATGGACCGTCAGATGCTCAGGAATGTCGATCACAAATGAAGGGCCATCGGGCTCATCGCCCGCRGCTGATGTCACTGTCCATGGTCCAAACCACTTAGGGAGTAGTTTGCGTGAGACATCCTRTTCCAATGCAAACTCTTCCGAGGAGACCCAAACTCGATCTCCGGCGCGGATGGGACATGGTACGCGGCGCCTGTTGGCTTGCTGCTGCATGCGGACTTGAGCCTTTTGCATGTTTGTGCGGGCTTGAGCCAGCAATTCCTTGTACTTCCGGACGGAAGCGGGAGAGCAAGCGGCATCAATGTCGGCTGGTCGAGGGAGGAGAAGATTAGCGAAGATACGGCCTTTCCGTCCACCGTGGTGCAACTCGAATGGAGTCACACCGATCGCCGGGTGCACTGAAGTGTTGTAGGCGAACTCGATGTCGGGGAGGCGGTCAACCCAATCCTTCTGGTCCGGACGGATGAGCGTACGAAGCATCATTTGAGCGGTCTGATGTGCCCGCTTCGTTTGCCCGTCTGTCTGTGGATGCCCAGCCGAACTGGGTTTCATCGTCGTGCCGGACTCCTGCATGAGAGAGGTCCAAAAAGTCGACATGAAACGAGTGTCGCGGTCGCTGACTATGTCCTCGGGTACGCCGTGGCCACAAATCCAACCGGTGTGCAAGAGGCGTGCCAGCTCGGGAGCCGTGGAGTAGTACTTGCAAGGAAGAAAACGTGCGTACTTGCTCAATCGGTCCACAACCGTGAGGATGCCGTCGTGCCCGAGCCGGTCTCGAGGAAACGGACCGGTGACATCCATAGCAATGGAGATACCGGGTTCCCGGGGGATAGGCATCGGGCGTAACTCGCCATAGGGATTGCGGTTGCGGGGTTTGCTGCGTCGGCAAACTTCGCAAGAATCGCAAACCGCATGACATCGGAAATGAGGTCGGGCCATCGGAATCGTTGTCGAAGCCGTGCAATCGTGCGATTGACTCCGAAATGGCCGTCGAGTCGCGAATCATGATACTCGCCGAGAAGGCGAGTCCGAAGACGGCGGTCGCGTGGGACACACAGTAAGTCCTTGCCTCTCGAGTGGAGGAGCAAGTACCCGTCGGCAATGCGATAGTGGCTGGCCGGCGGGTGATCCGAAGATAGCTGCGCATACAATGTAGCAAACTTTGGGTCAGACTGATAGCCCCTGATGAAGTGTCGCTGGAGGTCCTCGTCGAACGCGAAGGCGTGATGCGTCATAGCGCAAAGATCAGGTCGTCGCGAAAGTGCATCTGCTGCGCGATTGGAGAGGCCGTCAACGTGTTTCGGTGTGAAGTCAAACTGTTCGATGAAGTACATCCACCGTCCAATCGTGCTGCTCACCGTGTCCTGCGTCTTGTAGTAGGTCAATGGGTTATTGTCCGTGACCCATGTGAACCTACGACGCCCAAAAAGGAAGTGTCGCCATCGCTTGAGAGCCATGACGAACGCAAGCAGCTCCTTCTTCCTTGCATCATCCAGAGAATTGATGGGAGGCACTTTGTGGCTGAAATACTCCACAGGGTGCCAATCCTCGCTGTCGTGCTGCTCCAAGACTGCCCCAATGCCGTAACCGGAAGCGTCAGTCGTCACTCTCATAGGCAGTGGGGTCGTAGATGCTAAGGACGGGTGCCATGAGCATGGCCGTCTTGAGTGCTTGGAAAGCCTGGCGCGCGTCGTCATCGAATACGAATGGCACCTTTGGCGATTGTAGTCTCGTTAGAGGTGCGACAATCCTTGAGTATCCGGTGATGAAACGCTGATAATAGCCTGCCAACCCCATGAATGAACGAACGTCCGTGGTGTTGGTGGGCTCGGGCCATACGCGGAT